CATCTTGGTCAAGCAGTCCTGTCCATTTCCATAATTTATATATTTTCTTTTTATTACTTGTGTGTTATTGTTATTATTATTCTCATTGTTACTTCACTTCCAATCATATACACAATGTTCTGCAGGATATGTGTATTCACTGTGAATGAACAATACCATAAATACAAAAGCCTAATATTAAAAGTCGTCTTTCCCTTGCATCCTTTAAATTATCTTAAGATTCATAATAAATATGGCATTTTAGGTTTTGTCCCATTTTTCCGAAAATCATATGACAAGAAAGATCCGATAGCTTTTACGGATCGAAAGAGCTGTATGAAGAATACAGTGAAGAGCGCATTTTCACACTGAACAATTATTTCTGAATACTACAATGATATTCGTATAATGGACAGAGCAGTTACAACAGCGAGAACAGCTGGACAGAACATGTAATGTCCATTAGTCAGTGTCATTATCTTATCAAGAATCTAAGGCTAATGAAGTCAAGAAAATCAGAAATAAGTTGTCACGAATGTAGCCTGACATACAATCTGACAGACACAAGATACATACCTTTCGGGGAACTCTTCAAGGTTATTGGTTGTTTTCGAAACGCCACACATACAGAAAGAGAGGGAGAGAGAGGGGGGGGAGGGGAAGAAAGGGAGAGAGAGGGGGAAGAATGAGAGAGAGAGAGAGTAATGAGAAAGAGAGAAGTAGAGAGATAGAGATAGCTAGATAGATAAAGAGAGAGAAGATAGAAGAGGGATGAAGATTGAGAGAAGAGAGAGAGAGAGAGAGAGAATGAAATGAGTGAGAGACAGAGGGAGAGTGAGAAAAGATAGAGGGGTGAAAAGAGTGTCAGAGAAAGAGAGAGAGAGACAGAGAGACGCGAGATCTTTATCAGCTGTGACTATTGTTTTACGAGGAAGAAATGATGTGGAAAGGATAATCAATGAGGAAATTGGTCTTCATATTTGATAAATATACAGACGAGAATGAATAGTTTTGAAACAGAGAATTGGATCATGAAGAAAAATAGAGAAGGGATAATAATAATAGGGTAAACGTATAAACAAAAAGCTTATGCTTTCGCTGCGACGCCCACCGAAGCCGCCCGTGATACAACTTTCGCGTCACAGCCTCACGGCAGCCGTCGCGGTAAACCTCTGAAGCAGAAAAGAGCTTTTGAATAAGCAAGAGAGAGAGAAATGAGATGAAACAATACAAATAGACTCAAACCGTACAAAGGAGTGCAGCAATACCATATGTTGTGAAAAAAAAAATGATATTCAAAAATTCCTGCCCAGCATCCGCTCTGACTGTCCTTGAGAACCGCCGGAAACCTTTCCATGGGAGGTCATATATAAGCCAGTGCACTCACGCTGAACTCAGTCATTCATTTACAGTCATAGGGTACGTTTCCCTTTGGAATTCCATTGCTCCTGGTGGTTAGTAATTCAGTGTTGCATTACCGGTACTCTCTCGAAAACATCTTATTCCATTTTATGTATCTATCAGTTATCTATGTTTCTCTGTTGATAAATCACATACCTCAATCTGTGTATCTATGCCTCTATCCATGAGAAAATATTCACTTACAGCAAGATGGCTGTCTACCTAGTCGCCCCCGTCGTCTACCAGCTGCAGGAGAGTCTTCGTCACGTCGACTTCAGAAGCCTCGCCAGCGCCTTCGACGTCAGAAGCTGGGTCGGCCAACTGGACTTCGAAAAAGTAGGACTGGCGACGCTGGTGATCGTGGCCGCCGTGCTCGTCTTCGACTGGTTCAACAAGAACTATGCTCCCAACGGCCCCAACTTGCTGGTGTCTTCTCCCCCCGTTTGGGATGCTGCAGATCAGGGAGGGTTTAAACACACTGACACCCACGACAGGTTTGTTTTGTGGATCAGCTTCCAGTGAGGCGATATATATATATATATATATATATATATATATATATATATATATATATATATATATATATATATATATATATATATATAATATGTATGTATGTATGTATGTATGTATATACCTGTTTTCTTCTTTTTTTTCTTTTTTTTTTTTTTTTTTTTTTTTGAGGGGGGGTTATGATTTCTAAGATATCCTGATATTGCATTTTTAATATATTTCCATGAGAAGGTATCGACTGCTCTTTCATCTTAAACAAATGTTTCTTTGTAATAACCCTAGATTTTCCTAAGCCAACTTTCCACCTCCTTTCCTCAGCATGTCCTTAAACAATCGATCCCTGGAGACGGTGGCGAAGGTCTTCCATGCCCTGACGGAGGCGGTGAAGAAGTGGGAGGAGCCGCAGGACTTCTCTGCCAGACGTCGTGCCACATAAAGGATTATATTGTTTTATATTGCAAGATAAAAAAAAAATGAAAGACCGGTTGTAGAGGTTGTAGTGTGTATTACTTGCTGGCAAGTAAATACGGGCATTGACTACTGTTATTATAGATACTGTTATGATTGCTGTTTTGACCGTTGTGCTCTCTCTCTCTCTCTCTCTCTC